AAGCACAAGGTTAAAAAATGTAGAGATATGGATTTGTGTGCATACCATTTATGAAAAAATGTATAAATAGAAGCATAAAGTATAATCTGAATATAACCTACAATGGCAAATAGGTTTGCTTAAGAAATGTGGATAAATGAATTCAGCTTGTATTGCAATAACACAATCTCTCACTAAAAACAACTCTGTTCTTGGTCCTGCTTACCCCACCAGTTGTTTTTGTTCTGGGAGCTAAAAATAAGACAGTAAGGAGATATAAATTATTTCAAGTATTAAAATGAATAATGCCACACATTCTGCTACAGTAGGTAACCAGAACCATTGAAAGACAAACAGAAGCACAGCATCACACACATTCCACCATGCTTAACAGTGAACACGAGATGCTTTCCTACGGTTCGATGCTGTTTTTGCAACAAAACAGCTCAACCTTTGTCTCACCAAACCAAAGCGTACAGTTGTGAGGAGTGTAGAAAATTTCAGCTGTTCTGTGTGTACTTAGGATTCTAGGACAGAAAATGCATGTCTCAGAAATATTAAAAAGAGGTTTCAGATAGTTCAATGTAAGACTCGGTGAGTCTTAAGTCTTTGTTGCAGTTCTCCAATGAGAGGTAATGGAAGTTTATTTATACCTCCCTTACTATCTTGCACGGTGGGATAATAAAAATGGGTCCTCATCCAACCCAGTTGCTAGTTGCTGAAAGAAAGGGGCCTCTGTTTGATGTCATATTTCTCCGTACTTCCTCTTAACCAGCTAAACTTTCACTCTACAACAGTGTCAGGGTCAGTTTCATACCCTGCAGCTGTGGAACTGCCACCCTGTACTCCACTTCCAGCTCCCATTTAAAATGTGACTATTCGTTAACAAACCTCACGGGTCATTAACTTTAGAGATGGCATATGGGAGTGGAGGACGGCCTATGTGAGCAGTCAAATGAGTTATGTGGGCTCCAACAATAGAGGAATGCCTGTCTATATCTTTAAAATCAGAAGGTCATCTTCTGCCCACCCCTGAGCTCTGCTACTGCGCCCCAGTGTAAGAGCCCCTTCACTGGAGAAGGAGAAAAAAAGGAGAGCTTTAGAAGGGACAGAGGCCCGTCTGTGCTCAGGTCGCATAGTCTGCGAGGGGTCCCGGAACTGCGCACACAGTGTTTTGACCCCTGGGCTCCTCTTAACGACCTACACCCCCTCAGCTTACGGACAGTGGGCCCTGGGGTCCTGGTCCATGCACGCTCTCTCAGCATTGTGACGCAGTATCGGAGGTCAGGCTGAGAATGTGATTTATTAAATGCATGCAGGATAGAGAAGGTCTGAAAAGAGTGATTGAGCACTTGAACATTGGAGAAAAACTCTACAGCATTTTCTTTATAAAATTAGCTTTAAATGTTAATATCACTCCACTGTCACAGGTAAGATGACATGGTTTTTAGCTTTCAGTCACTCCATTTTGTTGATTTAACTAATCCTGAGCCTTTAATGCCCTTTTTATTTCCTTCCCTTTCAGTGTCTCCCTGCTGAAGCTGATGGATGAGCTCTGCTTATGAAGCTGCTGAAACTAGTAGCTTCACTCTGATCTGCTGCTGGCAGCCAGATCTTAAGCTCAGGCTGAAGGTAGGAAACCTTTCCCATGCATGGAATGATAGACACATAAAGTTAAATGGTAATTTTACTGTATGAATGCGCACCCTTGTGAAGCTGCTTTACTTTAACTACATCTATAGCATATTTGTTCTTTAAAAAATACAATGCTGAACAGTGTGGTGTTAATATTTAGTGTTTTATAGCTGCAGGTGCAGCTTTGCTTTTTGAAGGCAGATATATATTTCTCCCAATTGTTCAAGACTGAAATGTTTGCCCTTTTTTTGCAAAATCTGATACTCTCATCCTCAAAACTAAATGGGCAAATCGGTAAGGATACTTTAGCCAAAACAGAGGTGGATTAGCGGTCACCTTCATATGTGCTATCTGAATAAAACTGTCAATAAGGAAGGAGATAGAAAGAGGACATTCTCACAGTCCTATCTGAAAATTAGGTCCTATACTGATTCTGACAATACTGCATGACAGAACACTGGAAGCAGCCCAACTCACAGGAATTGACAAAAATAAACAATTTCTTCACATATGCTCTGCGTGACACATGCAAATGTATAAACCTTCATGTTTCGGGTTTTCTAAGGGAGAGCTTCACCCAGTCCCAACATTTGTGTAACTTGCTTTTTTTGTAGTTTTTTCAGAAGGCTGTGGTCCTGGTTTTCCCTCCCATTATTCATGTGCGTTTCGTTTGCATAATGACGTCCGTAAGGGTGAAGGCTGTTCAGATTCAGCAGATATTGTTTATACCAATGAAGGTGTTCTTGTTGTAGACAGCATGAAAGGTGAAGAAACCAGAGGTACAAGCTACCATGCCATTGGTTGGACGGAAGTGTCATCTTTAGAATTGCTTGGCATAGTGCTTAAGTTGTGTTACTTGGTTACAAGAAGGAAATTGATCAATTTGAAGGAATCAAAACTGAGTCTAAGCATATTCTGATTAATTTAAAGGAATATAGCACTGCTGTCTAAAGATGGCCCACAAACCAATATGTTTGTGCTTTGTAGTTAAAGAAAACTAAAAGGAAGCCAGAGAGTGGTTTGTTACCGGTACATATCATCTGTTTACTTTTGGGCTGCTTGCATTGATGACCAAACCCACACAGAAGGGGTTTATTCACCTCTAATGAAAACGACCTCAACCATGTAGAAACAAGTAGAGCAGAAACAAACGGAAGAACCATAAAAAAATAGCCCTTCACAGAGCAGCTCCATTTGTGCAGATTATTTTCACACAGTAAAAATGATCATTTACTTCTTAGATATTTGTCTGCACAGGATTTAATTTAGGCATAAAACTTTTTTTCTGATTTTAAACTTGGAAAATAAAAAGACCTGTTCAATTTTGGCTATGCCATTATAAAACCCAAGGAAAATACCCCAATTTTTTTTTTATATAGCAAAAGGTTCTACCTGTATACAGGTGCTGGTCATAAAATTAGAATATCATGAAAAAGTAGATTGATTTCAGTAATTCCATTTAAAAAGTGAAACTTGTATATTATATTCATACATTACATACAAACTCATATATTTCAGATGTTTATTTTGTTTAATTTTGATGATTACAAATGACAACAAATGAAAATCTCAAATTCATCATATCAGAAAATTAGAATATTACTGAAGACCAATAAAAACAAAGGATTTATAGAAATGTTGGCCAACTGAAAAGTATGAACATGAAAAGTATGAGCATGTACAGCACTCAGTATTTAGTTGGGCCTCCTTTGGCCTGTATTACTGCAGCAATGCGGCGTGGCATGGAGTCGATCAGTCTGTGGCACTGCTCAGGTGTTATGATAGCCCAGGTTGCTCTAATAGTGGCTTTTAGCTCTTCTGAATTGTTGGGTCTGGTGTATTGCATCTTCTTCTTCACAATACCCCATAGATTTTCTATGGGGTTAAGGTCAGGAGAGTTTGCTGGCCAATTAAGAACAGGGATACCATGGTCCTTCAACCAGGTACTGGTAGCTTTGGCACTGTGTGCAGGTGCCAAGTCCTGTTGGAAAATGAAATCTGCATCTCCAAAAAGTTGGTCAGCTGCAGGAAGCATGAAGTGCTCTAAAACTTCCTGGTATGTGGCTGCGTTGACCCTGGACCTCAGAAAACACAATGGACCAACACCAGCAGATGACATGGCACCCCAAACCATCACTGACTGTGGAAACTTTACACTGGACTTCAAGCAACGTGGATGAAGTGCCTCTCTTCTTTTCCTCCAGACTCTGGGACCTTGATTTCCAAAGGAAATGCAAAATGTACTTTCATCAGAGAACATGACTTTGGACCACTCACCAGCAGTCCAGTCCTGTTTCTCTTTAGCCCAGGCAAGACGCTTATGACGCTGTCTGTGGTTCAAGAGTGGCTTGACACAAGGAATGCGACAGCAGAAACCCATGTCTTTCATACGTCTGTGTGTGGTGGTTCTTGAAGCACTCACTCCAGCTGCAGTCCACTCTTTGTGAATCTCCCCCACATTTTTGAATGGGTTTTGTTTCACAATCCTCTCCAGGGTGCGGTTATCTCTCTTGCTTGTACACTTTTTTCGACCACATCTTTTCCTTCCCTTCGCCTCTCTATTAATGTGCTTGGACACTGAGCTCTGTGAACAGCCAGCCTCTTTAGCGATGACCTTTTGTGTCTTGCCCTCCTTGTGCAAGGTGTCGATGGTCGTCTTTTGGACAACTGTCAAGTCAGCAGTCTTCCCCATGATTGTGTAGCCTATAGAACTAGACTGAAAGACCATTTAAAGGCTTTTGCAGGTGGTTTGAGTTAATTAGCTGATTAGAGTGTGGCACCAGGGGCCATCAATTTTGAACCTTTTCACAATATTCTAATTTTCTGATATGATGAATTTGAGATTTTCATTTGTTGTCATTTGTAATCATCAAAATTAAACAAAATAAACATCTGAAATATATGAGTTTGTATGTAATGTATGAATATAATATACAAGTTTCACTTTTTAAATGGAATTACTGAAATCAATCTACTTTTTCATGATATTCGAATTTTATGACCAGCACCTGTAAATACCATTGTAAGGTACTGCCTACTTAACATATCTGAACAACACTAAAAAAAAAAAAAATATATATATATATACACTTGGTTTAAAGTTTTCTGGGATGTTTAGCCCAATATGGCATAACTACACCTGTAAGGACTGAACGACGCAGAGAGCTGTTCTCCAATTCAGGCCTTAAAACTTCATGTCCAAATCCTATTACTACATTTGAGGGGTTTAACTGGTAGATTAAAAAATAAAAAAGTAACACCATGGGCTCCTCTTATAGTCAAGATTGGGAGAAAAAAAAATAATGGCATTTATCTGCTCATAGAACACCAATGCCCCCTACTGGTAACAAAATATGTTAACCCCATTTGAGAGAATGACCAGGGCATGAATGACATCATTGTTTTTATTCAATAGAAACTAAAATGTTTACATAAATATGAAAAAAAAGGAGGAAAAATGCAACAATTTGCTGGAAAAGATTCTTTATCTGCTGGGATGGTGGCTGGGTTTGTTATTTTCTTGACCTCATATCCCAAAACGTATTTTATCAGTCATCCACAGTTTGTCATTAACGTTTCCTCTTGGACTCAAACTTGTAAATAGCAGCAGAATTCTGGGTTTCCTTTCTCACCTTGACTTTCTTGTTTTTATCCTAAGGCCAAAGTAAACAAACACATAAGAATAGAAATGATTTGGATATTACTATTCAAGTGTTTAAGACACTCACCTGTAGATCTTTACGAGTCTGAATTTTCTGACTGATAACAAACATTTTCCTCTCTCTGTCAATCCTCTGGGAAAGGATTTTATACTGGTGCTTTCTCTGTCTGGCCAGTTTCTACAAGGGAAGCAAACAGAAGAAAATTTTTATTTCTGGGCTCAACACAGAAATTAACAACCATAAACCAAACAATAAATTGAAAGGAGCCGTTAGCAAAGAAAACAAAAAAAAACTGATTTTAAATTTTAAATACAACTAACCTGAATGATTTTTGGCTCCATAGTTCCTTTGATAGTCTTAGTTTCCAGTGTTTGCAGAGTTGGTCTATTGTACACTCGATCCACCAGCTCTGGGGCGGTGTTAAGATGGCCTGCCAGGTCGAACGTTTGCACTGAGGGCGCACACATAGAAATAAAACCTCAAAACAAGTCTTGCATAACCAACTCTGGCAGTCATGTTCTAAGTGAACAGCAATTATCTACCATGCGTCCCTTAATAAAATCTGTATCTCTACAAAACTTGGACTTGCCTTCTTTTTTGGAATCAACAAAAAAAGTATGCTTGTTCTTTTGTTTGCTCTCTGCATCCAGAAGGTGAAGCTCTCCTTTCAGCCTCTCTATTTTCTGAAAGAAACATTTCAAAATGTCAGGAAGGAGAATCCATCCTACCACCATCAACTGTACATTTTCAAAAGGAAGTTGACAGTTTTTATCCTTAAATGTTTTTACATTGAAAATAAAAGAATTTGAAACGGCTTCAATTATCCATCATTGTTTTACTTTATATATTTTTTTATGTACCTGTCATTTAATTGTATGCATTTCTGTTCCTGTTGTAACTTTGCTGCCACTTGGCCAGGACTCCTTTAAAGGAGGTTGTTTATCTCAATTAGATTTGTTCCTGGTTAAATAAAGTTTAATAAAATAAAAAGAATCAACAAAGCATTTTTTTTAAATTATGGCATAAAGCCACTCAAAAAACCCCAGAACATTTGAACATTAAACAAACCAAACAAAAGTAACAATGAGATGCAGAGTAGATGCACTCAATAGATGTTTAGCTCTTCCTTTTTGCCTGAATTAAAGCATCCGTGTGATTCTGCTGAGGTGTTGCCTTAACAACAGCCTTTAGCTAGTTAGTGCTTTTGGTTCCTGTCTCAGCTTGGGAATCCTCTATAGATGCTCTTCGGGTTTTAGGCCTAGTCAGTTTGCTGGCCAATAATCTACAATTGCACAATGAGCCCACAGCTTTTAAAGCGACATTATTGCTGAAATATATCTTTAAAGTAGCATTTTAATTATACCCTTTATAATTAAAACATTGTTTGATGAGCAGATTGACACCTTAGTAGTTCAGTAAAGATGCATCTATAACTTATTTAGTTTAATTAGGGTCAGAAGTTCCTGCACTGTTCAGCAGATGTGACGTCGAGCACGTCCATGTTGAATGGGTCGGACCAACTGATCTCTGTTTATTCACTGGATTGCTGATTGGCTTAAAAAAAAAGTGAAGCCACCGGCCGGCATGTTGGTACTCCCCACTCCCACAGAGACACGCAGTAAAACTGCCTACATGGGCAGCATTTAGCTGCAAAAACAAGCACTCTGCCAGCTATGGGAAGACGTTCCACAGTCAGTGGATTTACTAACCAAGAAAATCCACATATATGCCGATGCATCCTCTAATATAGTATGTAGTGTAAATTACTACATTGACTAAATTAATCATTGACACTGAGTCTAAAGTTAGAAAATAGAAAGTAGAGTAAATAAAAAAGTATTTCACTGTGAAATGTCAACGTAGTAACGTAAAAAACACTCCTCAAACATTTGACCCATATATTGCATGCATTACCAGACATGTAAGATGTAATAACCATAAGAATGTAATAAATACATGCATATTACACGTAAATTATCAATTTAGCACTTTTGGCACGTCTGCATTATTATGCTCCATTAACACATTTTGTGATCGATTTGTATATGTTGTATTACATGATTTAGAGACTCCATTGACTTCTAATGACTATGACTATTTTTTTTATTATAAGTTAAAGTAATCTACTTATGCAATGAAACACCGAGTGTGTGTCAAAGTGATGAATTTATCTTTATTCTAAAGGTCTTAAGTAGTGATGCACGATATTGGGATTTTGGCCGATATCCGATATGCCAATATTTTAAAACTCATGTAGCCGATAACCGATATCGATGTTAAAGCTGGACAAAAATAAGTAGTCATTGAAAATAGCAGTTTTGTTATCCATTTCTGACACTTTGAAAAATAATAAACTCAAATATATTTTCATATGCTGATATCAAATTGATTTTTAAAAACGCGGTATCGATCTATTTTACTTTCAAAACCTCGTGAAATTTCATCGTTCTGTTACAAACTCTCGTGATATTTTGCAAATTCTTGTGAGATTTTGTTAGTAAAATAGATCAATACCGCGTCAATATATCAACATATAAAAATATGGCAACATTTCGTGAATTTTCGGGGGATTTCGTAGCATAACGATGACATATAGCAATATTTTATTAGTAAAAGAGATTGATATGGTGTTTTTAAATGGCAATATATCAGCATATGAAAATATTGTGATATTTTAATGTATCAATATTTTTTCCCTCATCTTTAGAAGTTTTTAAGTCTGTAAAAAAGAAGTTTTTGAGGAAGAAGAAGAAGTAGTATTTTTTTTTTTTTCTTTTTTAAGACTTCAGAAACTGGTGGCCGATGTCCGATATTCAGTTTTAAGGCTGATACAGGCCGATACCGATAGGGGGCCGATTATATCGTGCATCCCTAGTCTTAAGTCATCGTTGTTCGATGCTGTAGGGCACATATTGTTTACATTGCGATCGGTCTAACAAGGGAGTACAAATATGGCGGACGGTGGCTTCACTTCAACCAGCAATCCAGTGAATAAATATTGACCAGTTGTCCGACCTCACAAACAATCAAGGCCATGTTTTAAAGAAGGATTTTGTGGACACTCAGAAGCAACCGGCATCCAGCTCAACTCAGACACTAATGGCAACTCCAGGAAAGGGGGAAAAAAAGTAAAAAAAAAAAAAAAAAAGGTTAAGGCTACAGGCTACATGAACAAGCAGAAGAGTGCTGCAGTTCTCAGTGACTTCTTGTGACTTACCTTCCTTCTGGGTGGTCTCTAAGACTACCTGCTGACCTGGTGTAAGGTCAGATGTGTTCATCATGATTTTGTATGTCATACTGAGGCCAAAACATACCGGGTAAGCTTTGGGTGTTGGTCTCATCATGTAATATCCTGAATATTCTGAGAACATTTATTTTTTGCAAAATATGCTTTACAAAATTAAGCATCACCTTAACAATAAAAAAAAAAACACTTTATCAACTTGTATCTGTTATACAGCCTGTTGGAACAGCTGACACACCTTGGCCTCTGCTACACGTTTCATCTCCACATATTTGATGTCCTGCGTCCTCATCACTTTCTTCTGCTCCTCTGTCACCTCTTCCTCTGTTTTCTTCATCACATGAACTCCATCCTGTCAGCATGCAACCACCCACAGCAAAAAAAAACAAAAAAAAACATCAACATGTCAGTCTGACACCGGTATAAAGGAATCTTTATAAATGAAACTTAAAATGAAGCTGGATTATTTGTAACCTCTAGTTTGGAGCTGATCATGTTGAAGTAAAACTCATCCGGGTTTTTCTCCATAGCTTTTTTTCGCAGAGCAGCGAGGGTGTTTTGTTTCTTGTGATAGTCACTATAATATTAACAAGGGATACAGAAAAAAAGAATAATTTGTACAGTATTCAATGATTTAACTAAAGTAAAAATAAAAATAAACGTGAATCTTACTCTGCTCGGAGTTTGTAGTCCTTCTTCTTCTCCAACAAACCCAACGTTTTCCTGGAAACGAGCTGTTTTGACAGAATGCAATAATTACTTAATAAAATCGTTGCTCTGAAAATCAAAACACAAACATATGTCGCTTGGATTACCAACAAAAAACAACAGCTAGATGTTTACCTGAGATCTCTCATGGTGGTTCCTCTGTTTGGACTTCAGCGCTTTCCTGAATGAAGACATGGTTAGGTAGTGTTTAAAAACCTATGCCCCGCCAAACACCGTCAAAATAGATAAATGGGAACTTTTATATCGCAGAAACAGAGAAAGCTAACTGTTTCTTTGGACCCGTTCCTTCCTATGTGAGCGAAACACGTGGTTTCCTGTCTGCCGGCGTGTTTCTCATTTCCTGGCAGCAGATTCGACGCTTTATAGCAAAACTTTTCAGAAAAGTAACCGAAAGAATCCTAAGATATCAAATACAAATACAAAAAAATACATATATTTTACTTTGATAAAAAGTCGCCATTGTAATTTTATTTTATTTTTTGTCAAATTCTTGCGACATCTCTTTTGGATTCTGCTGATTGACGTGTGAAAACACTAGAGGGCGCTGTTGCATAGAGAATTATACCCTATGGTGACATGCTGTTGGTAAATATTAGATCTGTATTATATGTTGCTTAATATAAAATACTGTTATATCATAATAGATATCTGTACTGTTCTCTTCAAGTTTAGGTAGAGATTTATTTCATTTTCATCTGTTTAGAAACCAGCGAGATACATATATATATTTATGTTTTTATTTTAATTACAATTATATTCCTTAATAGATGAATATGCAGATAAATGTTCTCCTTGGAAGACGATAGATCAAAACTTTCAAATGAAAAGTTAAATTTTGCAATTCCAAAACAGATTAACTAATTTTACTTTTTTTGTGAATACTAATTTAAACTTTAAAGGATTTTTCAAGTGCCCTGCCATGGACTAGTGACCTGTCCAGGGTGTACCTTGCCTCTCGCCCTTAAACAGCTAGATATAGGCACCAGTACCCCTCGCGACCCCAGCTGGGATAAAGCGTGATGGAAAATGGATAGATCTTTCAAGCTGATCATGTTAAAGCATAATCAAATTCTGTTTAGGGTCCTGTATGACCTTGGATCAGCATATACAGATACAAATACAAATAATAGTGTAAGTCTTCCACTAATAGAATTTTCTGCTTAGGCTAAGTTCAAACTAAGTTGTTTAGTTTGATATCATCTGACCAGAACACCTTCTCTCACGTACTTAGGGACCTTCTATAACCTTTTACGGAAACACAAACGTAACTTATTTTAGCTTTCTTTTAGCAATGTTTTGTTCTTTTGGTTTTTTGTTTTTTTTTCCCCCATGTGTTTTGTGGATACATATCTGGAGTACACACTTGGACAAAATTCAAATTTTGATAAACTTGAGGTTTTATTGTACCCTGCAGAGATTCAAGACATCCCATGCAAGATGAAGCAAACCAAATTTGACATGTAATAATTAATTCATTCAAATATTTGTTCATTTTCATGGAATTTGCATTTACTATTACTTTTTTAGAAATATTTATGTTATTTCTCTGACCATTGTGGGTTTTTGTTTCATTAAATGATCAGTACAAATTAATTTTGTCCATCTGTTAATATTTAGATTGGTCCTTTTGATTGCATAGTCTTCCATCTGACTTGACAATCTCTGCAGCTTCTGTAAAGTTTGCCTGGGCCTCTTTAGGGCCTCTCTGATTAATGCATTTTTGGCTTTTCATAATATATGCTAACGCTTTTTTTTTTTTTTTCAAACTTTCTGTGTTTTTGTCCTGGCATATTGTAGCAGTTTTGTGTTTGTTTCTGTAACATATTCCTCATCTCACAGTAGAATGGGATGAAAACACCAGGAATAGTACACCAGATTTACCAGTTACCCGTTTTGTTTTTTGTTTTTTGGCACCATCTGAACTTTGACCAATAGTAATAGTTCTTTGTAATTAAGAATATTTATGTAATTATATACACTTATGGTGGTTCATGTAGCTCAAATCATGCAAGGCAATAAAAGATGAACATCAGAAATCAATTTCTAATCATGGTAGGATTATCTTGAACTCCTTTCACAGATATGGTCCCCGATGCCTCCACCTTTGACTGCTGACCAATCTTCTTTCCACTGTTCCCTCACCGTTCCCCCTGCAGGTGGTGTTCCCACAGGGGGATTGCCTTGTGGCTGGGCCTGGCAATGTCATACGAACTTTCATTTAAACTCAGAGGTATCAAGTAACAAAGTACTAGTACTTCGTTATCTTAATTAAAAATATAGAGGATGATATTTTATTTCCGGGTTTACCATCTTCCTAATTGCCAGTTATCTGTTAATATGTTTAAATAAGGTCGTCCTACAATCTTGTTCTGTTAGCTATCCTTTTCTGCGAATACGCACTTTCAGTTGTATATGTGTGGTGAGCTATGGTTTCAGTCATTGAAGCTCACCTTCCTCACCACGATTCTTTTGAGTTTACTATAAAGAAAATCCTCCACAATACCTTTAAGTAGAAATTTTGGCTATCTATACTTTACTGGAGTAATTATTTTTTACACAACCTTTAAGTTCTCCTTAAATTCTTTTGCAAATATATCTATTTTCTACTCATATTCTAAAAATAGACTCATTAGTTTTGTTTCACTTTTTTTAATTATGGCCTGTTGGTATGTAAAAAAAAAATTAAAAACACCAGAATTATTTGTTTCATCCAGACAATTCCTTTCTTTGTGGTTGGACTTGGTACTGCACCAACTTGTTGTTCTACACATGCCAAAAATAAATAGTTTTTCAAGATGATGTAAAGTTAAATTTAATATTGTTGCCATTAGTTAAGAAACTAAGAAAATTGAGTATAAGGAAGTTATCATACAGAATTGTGGAAAAATGTTCCTTTTATAGGGTAGTGCAGTAAACAGTATAAGGTTTAATGCTTCTGTCCTAAAAACTTTTTCCTGCATTACTTTTACTTTTATATGTTTAGTAGTTTTAAAAATCATACCCTTACACTTTTACTTGAGTAAAAAGCTTAAGTTGATAATCTAACTTCTACAAAAGTGTTTTTAAACAGCAGGATTTGTACTTCTACTTGATTAATACACATTAATACTTTGACACCTCTGTTTAAACTTAAAGCATTTAATGAAATCAAACCACACAGGATGTGGATTACACACAAGCTGGATTTTACTCTAGAGACAGAAACATGTAAAGTCTCTTTTCTGTTTTCCTCTTCATTTAAAGATTCCTACAGGAACTCAGAAGATTATGGGGTCAGTGCTCTACCCTGGGAGAAACCACTGTCCACTTCCTGAGATGATATAGACATCTGCAACAGGAGACAAAGACGAAGCCACAGTGGCACCAGTCCCCTAATCTTACACAGACTTCAAGCTCTTTGTGGATACAAGAAGAACCCAGTGAGACAAGGAGATATTCCACTGAACAACAGTTTCCCCCCCCTGTAGGAAGGGTCACTATTCCCCACCAGCCACAAGGAATTTGTTTTATATGTGTGAGATTTGCCTGGCATGCAGAATGTTTTGTGGGTGAGTAGAACTGTGAATGGGATCAGTGTTTCCACATTATGTCACAGGCTTGTTTATCAGTCTGATGGCCATTGAACTCATTTCTTCCAAAGGTTTTAGCCTAAGGTCTGTCTGATCTACTCATCCAAGAGCATGTTTCAACGAGGCAAATACACACGGCAGCGATGAGCGATGACTGTAAGTTCTGACTTACTGGGCTCCGTGCTGTTTAATTCATGTGAGTATTTATCATTACAAGTGAAATGCCTGGTGAGCCACAGCGGGGGTAAATACTACTTTAGAAATCAGAGGCTCGTAAGAAGCTGATGCAGGAGCAAGAGCACAAGAGCCTGTGGGTTTGTTCAGGGTCAGCAGTGGAGGAATGCCCTTGTAGAGCAGATGCAGAACCGTTTGGTTTGCTAAAATGACCCTGTAAAAATAACACTGCTGACATATTGTAAGACTTCTGTGCTTAGGCTTAGCTCAGGGCTTTGGTATGTCTCCCCACACCATGGCTGGTCCTGATCTAGAGCAAGCAGCCAAGCAAGCCAAGTGAAGAAAAAAAAATGCATGAGCCAGAAGTTCCTCCTGTGTGGTTGTTTAGATGCATCACATTTTATTGGTTGTGGTGAAACATAATGCATTAAGGCTATAATAACTCACTATAGACACACCACACGAACATTATACCCTCCATCTGGAAAGATGCTGTAGTTGTTCCACTGTCTCTATGTCTAGCTACCCTAAAACTGTTGGTGTTTTCAGAACAGTGGCTCTGAGATCATTTAATTTTTTTTTTAATGATCAGATGTGTAATTTAAATAAAAGTCAAGGTATACCTTGGAACCCATTCAGTTTGCATACACTAGATGCAACCGTTCACTTGTCAGACATCTGTGGAGTTGCCTTTTAATGAAAGGATAAATAGAGTGTGAATAAATGGTATTCTCTCTTTAGGTTGTGTGCTGTCTTCCTAACTCATTATCTGTACACAAGTATGCGACAAATCAAACCATCCACCCATCCATCCATTGATTGATTTATTGACTTTTTTGATTACACAGTGGAGAAACGTACTCGTTACAGCAGTTCAAATAGTCAAAGAAGAAGGAGAATGTGCCAAAGGAAGAAAAGGGTTCATGGGATATATACAGTATATACAGTGCGTTCACATAAGACAGCTTTATTTTTTACAGAGTTATTGGTTTAAATGGGTATTTATATAGATGGATACTTATAGTTATTGCAATGGGTGTCAAATATAAAGAAACAGGTTATTGCATAGGGTATAAAATAGTAATTGCACATTATACATTGAACAAGTTATTGCTGTTGTAGTGTCACATTGCAGAGTCTGGTTGCAGCAGGGACATGATACTTTTTGTTCAATATAGAGTACAGCAGTTACTCATTTACCACGTTTTACATGATGTAATTTACATTGAATCTGTTTCATTGGTCATTTTTCGGCCTTCCATCTTTAAAGAAGAGAAATGCCTTAAGTCAAACAGAACAATCCTCATCTGTACTGACTGGAGAGCTGCAATAATTTCTTCTAACCCTGTAATCCAGGCAGTTACAGCTAAATCTGCAAAAAAAAAAAGAGACTCCTATTTTTCACTGTGCATGAAGTGTCAGCTTCTTCCCTCCAGATGGAGATTCTTGGTCCCAGAAAGCAGAGGACTTTATAAAAACATCTTTGTTCTAGCAGCTGTGATTAAACTGAATAAGATATAAATACATGTTGCACATTTTATCGACTATGCAACACGCCTGTTTCAGTTAGTTGATTCTTAGTTATA